AGCTGAAAGACTGAAAGTGCAATTCTGTACAGAGGTACTCCAACCTAAACTCGTTGGAATGCTTCTGCATAGAATTTGCACTGTAACTTGCTTTTCAAAGACCATCCTGCAGGCTTCATAACTGTGGGGTTGTTATGCCAATAAAGGTCTATGTATATGTATGTAACTGTGGGGTAACTGTGGAGTAACTGTGTGGGTTCAAGACCAGCACTACTCCACTATACCACAATAGCCATAGCCATATTTCTCAGCAAACATCTGTTTGTCTGACAGACACATGTCACTTATTTTCATGCTTATACATACCCTCCCCTCCTTCCCTCACACATGGAACAGGATTTCATAGAAGCATAGAATGTTAGAGTTGGAAGGGACCTTGCAGGTCATCTAGTCCAACCCCCTGCACTCTGCAGGAGCATAGCCGAAAGATAGCCCTAAAACATTTAATTAAGCTTTTATCTGTTATGATATCCATATCCAAGTGACTGGAGAAACTGGAGTTTGTTCCCTCCCTACAAACCAGAATTAAACAAAGGGTTATAGTGCAGCCAACTTATGGTGACCCCATACGGTTTTCAAGGAAAGAGACGAGCAGAGGTGGTTTCCCATTGCCTGCATCTGCATAGAGACCCTGAACTTCCTTCGCAGTCTCCCATCCAAACCAGGGCCAACCCTGTTTAGCTTCCGAGATCTGATGAGCCTGGGCCATCCAGGTCAGGGTAACTCCCCCCCCCCCCATATTAGCAAATGTCACCATTGCTCAAAATTTAAGCACACTGGTCAATGTAATATTTCTTCCACACTGTCTATCCCAAGCACAACAGGGGTATATTGGCTTCTATCCTCTCTTCCTTTTCTTCTCCACCAACCCAATCATTTCCAACTTCAGCATGAGGTAACTGGGCCCACATCATTCAGAGACTCCACTCTTCTGCTGAAACATTTCTAGTAAGATCATGACCCACACATTAAGAGAACGTTTATGGAACTATTAGCAATAAGACATGCCAAAAATTTCCCCTCTCCCTCAGTTGCCCTCCAGTCGGCAGAAGCAATGAACATATTTTCTTTTCTCTGACGTTAAACATGGCTTTGTAAACAGATCACAGAAGTTATGTAAACCCAGGAATAATTACCACCTCCCAAAAAGTTTTTACCCAGCCTCATGAAGCTTCTGCCATAATAAGGATGGCAGATGTTACAACAGCTCTTTTTCACATTTCATCATCTGAGGGCCCCCAAGGTTACTGTATCAAAGGCAAAGCTTCCCTGAAATTTTCTCAGGGTAGAGTTTATCTCTGCAACTTTTGACTTATACAAACTGTATTTGATGCACCAACTACAGTTGTTCTGTCACACATGAGCCCCAGTAACATAAAGCTGGAGATGGTCATTCTGATTTTACTTTAATTGGACAAGCTAAAGTCAGGTTCTCCAGATCTCCAGCAACTAGGTATCTGGGGTTTTCCCAATCATAGCCACTGTACTTTGGTCACATTATGAGGGTAAGAGTCACTAGAAAAGATAATGTTGCTAGGAAAAGTTGAAGGCAGTGGGAAAAGAGGAAGACCCAATGTGAGATGGACTGACTCAGTAGAGGAAGCCACCACCTTCAGTTTGCAAGACCTGAGCAAGGCTGTTACCAACAGGAAGCACTGGAGGTCACTAATTCATAGGGTTGCCATGGAAGCGACTTGAGGGCCTTACACACACACACAGAGTCACTGGGCAGGTCTACTTTCCAATCAAAATGCAGCACCTTATTCTGAAATCACTAGAATCCAAAGATTCTCAACCCACATTAATCCCAACTAGCTGGCATTAGTGTGGAATGTCACAAAACAAGCCCTTGAGAACAACCTTAGAGTGCAGATGTGCTGATGTCCTTGCAAAGATAAGAAAGACAAATTACTACTGCACACTAGCAACAGCCCTGAAGCAATGCCAGTATTTCCAAGTACAAGCAGACTGAAAGTGTAATGCACTGAAACACAATTATATATTCACTACCTACATTCAGTTGGAGCTGCGGTGGCTCAAGTGGTTAAGACGCTGAACTGCAGGCTGTGGAAGGTCAGTAGTTCAGCGGTTCAAGACCCGGGTGCCGCAAGACAGGGTGAGCTCCTGTCTCTAGTTCCAGCTCCTGCCAACCTAGCAGTTCGAAAGCAAGAAATTGCAAGTAGATAAATAGGGACCACTTCGGTGGAAAGGTAACAGCGTCCCGTGCGCCTTGGTGTTTAGTCATGCCGGCCACATGACCACGGAAACGTCTTCGGACAGCGCTGGCTCTTCGGCTTTGAAACGGAGATGAGCACCGCAACCCTAGAGTCGGATTCGACTGACTTTCGAGCAAGGGAGCCTTTACCTTTACCTACATTCATTGATGAGCTACAAGAAATTTTTGTTGTTGTTCAGTCGCACAGTCGAGTCCGACTCTTCGCGACCCCATGGACCAGCTCCCGCCGGGCCCTCCTGTCTTCCGCTGTCCTCTGAAGTTGGCTCAGTTTCATGTTCGTTTCATCGATGACACTGTCTAACCATCTCATCCTTTGCCGTCCCTGTCTTCTTTGACCTTCAATCTTTCCCAGCATCAGGGTCTTCTCCAGGGAGTGCTCCCTTCTCATTTGGTGGCCAAAGTATTTGAGCTTCAGTTTCATTATCTGGCCTTCCAGGGAACAGTCAGGGTTGATTTCTTTTAGGATTGACTGATTTGATCTTCTTGCAGTCCAAGGGACTCTCAAGAGGGAGAGGTGATTATCACTTGTGTTCTTTTAACAGATGGGCCCGCTGGCAATTAAGGAAGAGCTACACTTCAGAGTATTATATGAAGG